ATAAATCGACGTGAGTCACCTGAGAGTCCATGCTCATCTTCGATAAAATTTATAAATTTTCCTTTTATGCATTATTGTTAGTTTTTTAACTTGTTGTAAATGATATTCATTTCATTATGTATGTTGCTATCAATCTTCTAAACAAAATATTATTATTGTAAATGCTACTTTTGTCATTGTTATCATAATCAGTGAGTACGTGAATTTATTACGGAATCTCTGTATTTCATTTTTATCCCATTCTAAATCCAAATTTCATCCTTTTTTCTGCTTTATTTGTGCCTTCTAAAAAAACTAAAATGCACTTTTCCTTCTATACTTTTTTGCATTGTATCGTTGTTAAATTTTCAATTGCATACTTATATTGCATGATGCCTTGAAATGACTTATTTCTGTTACGTTGTGTTTTTCACTATTAAATAAAGTTTTGTTCTGAGGATTATTCGTTTAATTGCATAATTACAAATTTAGTACAAAAATTTTATTTTATTACTAACGCAAAGAACAGTTAATTATGTTTTATTTCAAGCATTGTATATCGTGAAGATTTGAATTAATTGTTGAATAAATTTTAAACTTTTCAATAATTAGGAAAGTTGCGAGGAAAAAAAGCAGAAAAAGTGAAGCAAATTCAAACTTCGCATATAATTTATCCAATTTATTAGTCTGCAAAGATTTTAGGTGAGATATTGAATACATTTTGTATTCGTAAATACGTTTGAATGACTGCAGCAATTTCAAAAGTAAATTTTCTATTTTTAAATACATGTCAGTAAGTATTTACGCATGTGCTTGTAGTGTAACAAATTGAAAGCAAAGGAAACACTAATATGGAGCTATCCTTTTTGGGCATTATTTGAATTTTGTTTGAAAAATGCATTAATAAGCAAATTTAAGTGCGTTACTTTTTAAATAATGCACTTAAACTGAGGAACAGGATTGTTGGTAATTGATGTATTTATGGTAATTGGTGTTTATTGAAAAATGTTTTCATTCGAAAAGTAAGAAGTGCTGGCAGTTGGTTTTAGCGACTCGTAAAGGTTTCTATTTATGGAGGTTGATAGATTAAGTAAGTACCAAAGACAGAGTTGTTATGGAAGTTAAAGAAAATCTGATCGTCAGCATTGAGGGGATTGATATCAGAAGAAAGGTTACTGCTAAAATATTTGGGTAATAATTTGAAAATACAAATTGTCAGAACACTTAATTAAAGAACGGTACTATTTCATAGCATTCTTTACAGAAAAATTTTGAATCAATTTTTACACTTTCAACGTTAATATAATATAAAGTTTTCTATCATATCTGTAAGTTTTTAGTGCGAAAATAATTTTTTAGTGCCCCGTTATATGAGTATAAAACTACTGTATATTTAAATTACAATTAATTAAATTGTTATGTTTAGTAGATAGATGCCGTTGTGAGGCAATACATTAATTGCTCTTTCTTTATCCTATAAGTCGGAGAATCAATGTATAAATAAATATATTGGAAAGGTGACCTAAACTAATGGAGGTCATGATTATATTTGAGAGGATATAATATGCCAGTGATCGTTGATATGCCTGACTTTGTAATATTGAAACCTAAATTGATGCCAGAAAATCGTTCACAGCGCAGTCATTTCCAAATTTATTTAATTAGGGATTTGTGCATTCTATACATATCTGTTAAATTCAATTACTGATTAATTCTTCAGGTATGGACACAATTATGATAGGGTAGTTTGAGTTGTTGCAACAATCTTATCACAATTCAGATGACCTCTTTTTTCTTACGTTATCGCTATTACATCAAACACTGCAACAGTACTGCTAAATTATTAACTGTATTTTACTTGAACTAGTCCACTTCTCACTATCATTATCACTATGCTATCAGTACTAAGAAAGTGAAACAAACAAATAAAGTCTTTTGCATATCTATCTTTTGCTTCAGTTATTAATTACAGATGAAAAATTCTCTGCCCCTCAAATGCAGTTTAAGTTGAAGAGAGCGTAACTTTCGTGTTCCATTAATGGTTGGCATCTAAGCAAAATAATGCCTTCTATAAATACTTTCTTATTTCTTTCCGTTCTATTCAACAAGCCTTTATGCATCTTAACTTTCTTCAATAAGCCAAATGATTCCTTTATGACTGACTACCTTTTTGTGCCTGAAGCTTTCTTGTTTCAGATTTCTTAGCTTCAGACTGAAATTTTGCGTGTGAAATATTTTATGCAATCCATGGAGATTTCCATTTATGGCACTTTTTTGACTGCCTATTAAAATAATCTATGATGAAAAGTTTGTTCTCAGCTTAATTCTGTGACTGAATCAAAAACGTCTAGTTTATGCATCTAAACAACAAAAATTATAAACTCTGTATTTAAATGCATGAATTACCCAATTACAATACTTTGTAATAATAGTGTAGCAATACTAACAATGAAAATGATACCATTTATATAATAATATTAATCAAATAGTAAGATGATTTGCAAGATATCAGAATTTTGGTTTACGAATAATTTAATTAAGTGTGAAAATTTGTGCTATTTGCGTCTACAAAAGACATTTTGAAAATGAGTCCAAATATATACCTTTTATTTATTTATTTATATTTATATTTATATTTATATATATACTTCCTAAGCCAAAATTCTATATATATATATATGTTTGATACTTAAAATGTACAGCTGAATTGTTGAAAGGGTTCAAATTACGTTAAAGTTTGAAAACAACTAAATATAAAGGCTAAAAATTTTTATTCGCATATTAATAAATATTACAAACTAATTAAGCAGTATGTTCAGTCTTATGCTAATGCGTAAAACTACATAATATTTTGAATGGATTACACATAAAATTAAATTAAACAAATTCAGTGAGAATTCTGCTGCAAAATTAAAATGTTGTCAAAAATGATAATGCATTTAAGTTAGAAAATTAATTCAAAATGAAAAGTGAAAAATGAAAGAACGACAAAAAATAGATTGAATTCTTTTTCTAAACAATAAAATCTTATCAAAATAATTTATAATTAATAAATAACAAATATGTCTGCCAATACGTAACATTTAATTTCTTTAAATACTTTTATGTAAAGTAACTGATGCGGAACTGTGCAACTCAAAATATTAATAACTGATTAAAATTCAGCATTATGCAGTGTTGAGCAAGTAAATCCCGAAAATACATCATCTATTATCTTCGAAATTGTCTCATATTCCTCAATAATATAATGCTAAGAAGTCAAAATGAATCAACTATTATAAATTGACCTACTTATGACTTAAATCAACACTAACTGAAGTAGCAGAAAAATGTGACCTAATCTCTTAAGAATGAATAATTCCTTCTAAATATATTAAGAAAATGTAACGCAGTCTTATATAAACACTTCTTGATTGCTCTAATAAAATATTCAGTATTACTGATTAATAAAAGGCTAAGAATCAAAAATGAACTGATTTTTGAAAGTTTATTTTGACTGTTCATCGATTGAAAAAATTTAATTATCTTTCAAGCATATTTTCTGAATTGAACTAATCTTTAATAAAAAACACAAAAATATTTTTGCACATTAAGGGATCTTTACAAGCTGTTTCATATACTTTATTTAATTTAAAAAAACTCTTTTCTGCCTGATACTTGACAGCATTCAAAAAGCCAGAATTCAAAATCAAATGTGACTGAATTAGGTCTAATCAATACGTCGGATAAATTCAAACCTAACTTAATCTTTTAAATTAGTAAATTGTCACATTACTTTCATTTTTAAATACGTGACTCTAATTTTTTTCATTTCGCTCCAGAACAAGCAAATGTTTTTCCAAACTAATACTATTCGACTAAGAATGTGCGAATTTTGCAGTTTGTTAAGCTTTAATGTACGAGCTTCAATTCTACTGACTTTTGTGCTGCAGAACTTGCGCATTTTATACTTTATGTAGAATATTTTTTTAATAAAGATTTACCAAAATGTATGTGTTAAAATTATTTTGATGCTTTCAAGCAAGTAGTTTTGACTAAAATAAATTCATGTTACGTTGTATATATAATACGATAAATTTAACTCTATTATTTACACCACTATTCTGTTTGCATTATTCGATTTATTGCACAGAATCAGTCAGCAAAGTTTTGATAATAATAGAGCATTTATTTATTTGTTGTTGAAAAAGACATTAGACATGTTGTATTGCACGAATTTTGCAGTTTGCATCTTTGATTTGTGTAGTCACCAAAAAACGCTATGAATTTATTTGATTTCAGCAAAAAATTAATGCATTATATGCTTTAAATTAATTAATTAAATGACCTCTACTTATAAGTACTGTGACATTGCAAGAAGTATGAAAAATTTTTGAACGGCTTTTTGTTTGCGATTTGAATTGCACAAGTTTCTGCTTTTTTGCTTACTTTGGGATGGCAGTTGTGTTCCTCTCTTTGATTTGTTTAATTTTGACGCATATAAAATGTATTATATTGTTTACATTGTGAGAGGTTTCAATTTACCAATTGTCACTTTCATTATTTTTTCATCGACATTTTGTCTAATTCGTATTTTACTGTAGAGAATAAAATTCATATTCAAATGTTTTATTTCGATAGGTTTATTATTATTCTTAGTTATAAATTGTTTCCAAATTAGGCTATATATTGAGCCTTCAATTTTTTGCTTTATAAAATAAGTAATTAAATAATTGCGCTAAAAACTGTACATGCTTCTTCAATTGATTTTATGTACTTAATCATGCCGAAACTTGACTTTAAAAGAGTTTGAAAGCGGGATTGTTTTCACGATCGTATATATATTTAGAATTATTTCTACTATTGCAAATTAAAGTAATTCTTTCATGGCTGCTTTGGACTATAAATTTATACTAATAATTTGCAAGTTTTTAAGTTCCATTTTTAGCATTATTTTAGTCCTCTGAGTTGGATGAAGATCGCTAATTGAGTGAGAATTTGCGGTTGCGTAGGCAATACGATCAACTGGATAGGTCACCACGATGACAACGCAGTCTGGTGTGCAAAGTGGTGCAGGAAGTGGTGGTCGTGTGTCTGTAAGAGATTTGTGTTGCCTTTTTTGTTGCCCACCATTGCCTTCATCAATTGTTTCCAAATTAGCCTTCATGCCACCTGAGCCAAGTTATCGAATTGTTAAACATGACTCCCACGTGTAAGTAATTTCTTTTTGTTTTTTACTATTATATCTATAAGATTTGACGAACCCGTTTCAACTCATCAACATCTTGTTCAAAATTGAAAAATTATGCAACAACAAAAAATCAAAAATTTATTGAAAACACATCTGTTAAAATGTGCTAGCTTGTTATGATTTAGTCTTAAAATATAGTCTAATATAAATTGAAACTAACAAGATGTAATGTTAAAATATTTTGTTGTACTCTTTGAAATTTTTAATGTTCCTTAAACTTTATATAGTTGCGTGTCTTATGAGTGTTTCTATTTCAGAACTACGTTAGAATTAGTGGAAGGACGAGCAGACTGGCCACATGGTTATGATGAACTTCGTAATATTGATGTCTTTCATACACGCACACGAAGAAGGTGTGAATCATTTTTTCATCAGAAACTTCATTTGTGTTTTTGAATGGTTTCAATTTATTGTCTTTTGCTTAAGCACCATATTGCACTTATAAGTTGTGATGAAAGATTTCTTGTAGGAAATTGTTTACTTTACTGTAGTAATGTTATGCCAGTTATCAGTTACAGCATAAACTAAATAAAGTCAAGTAATGAATAATTTTTTCAAAAATCATATAAAATCACATTTAGGAATGACATTGTTTGTATGTACGTTAAACCCTGTGGTGATGCACATTTCACTTTGTTATTTTCACATGGCAATGCAGTGGACATTGGACAGATGTGTAGTTTTTACTATGGACTCGGTTTTCGTCTCGGATGCAATATTTTTAGCTACGATTACTCGGGTTCATATTATTTGAAAAGCTTTTATTTAGAAAAGAATCCTCATGAAGGTCTCAAGAATTACAGATAAATTCAAGATTTTCCTCAAAATACCCAAAAATTTTTTTGAATGTTTTTTTCTATCAAGCATTTTAGCTTTCAGTTTGAAAGTACCAATCATTTATTTCTAAGCGTCTCAAATACAATTATTTTTTTCCTTTGATGGTCCTCTTTTTTTTAAATTTGAAATAAGTCCTGAGCATTTGATTAAGTTTCTTTAGCCTGACAAAAGATTTTGCCCAGTTTGAGATATTTTCATTTTCTATGTCTAAATTTTATAAAACAAAAATCGATCAAATTGATTTGCGTTAAAAACCTTTTTTAGGATATGGTTGCTCTAGTGGGAAACCTTCAGAAAAAAATTTGTACGCTGATATTGCGGCAGCTTTAGCAGCTTTGCGTTCTAGATATCAGATGCCTTTAAATCGAATCATTTTATATGGCCAATCGATTGGTAAAATTAATTTTCTTTTCCTTTCTCAGATTTCTTTTATTTTTACTGGTTAATTTTTGAATTTTTAAGTTTCACACTATTTTTTGATGTGTTAGTAAAATATTGCAGGCATACTGAACTTTTTTAGAGATACAAAAATTTAGTACTTTTCAGGAACAGTTCCAAGTGTGGATTTGGCAAGCATTGAAGGTTCTGTTGCTGCACTCATATTGCATTCACCGTTGATGTCTGGTATGCGTGTAGCATTTCCTGGAACACAGCGTACGTGGTGTTGTGATGCATTTCCATCAATCGATAAAGTACCACGTGTACGATGTCCAACTCTCGTAATTCATGGGACTGATGATGAAGTTAGTGATCATTGTGTATGGAGAAAGAAAACCTCGTTTGAAATGATGGCCTTTATTTATTTTTTGTTTCTTTGTTAAATTATGTCTTATGGTAATATTTCGTAACAGACACTGATAGATGTATCGTGCTCATTAAAATTTTTTCAGGTGATTGATTTTTCTCATGGTGTATCAATTTACGAACATTGTCCCTCATCTGTTGAGCCGCTTTGGGTAGCTGGTGCAGGTCATAATGATGTTGAACTTCATGCTGCATATCTTGATCGCCTTAGAGCATTTATTGAAAATGAAGCTTATAAAGGCAGAGAAATTAGTACTACAACAACTACAGCAACGTCGGCTGGTTCGCGTGTCACCTCTTAACTCTTTTGGTAATAGTCTTCTTTTGAGAACTATTTCCTTCATCTATCATTCATATTTGAAAATAGTGCATTAAGTTGATAATATTTATCAAGCTAACTTTGAAGTTCTGTTTTTGGATTTGAAGTTACTATAATTTCTGTCCTTCTCAAAATCTAACTTTGTTACAGATGATTCTTCACATTTGAAGTAAAATACTGATGAAGCTGAAAAATGAAATTTTGAATATTCTAAATTCTGTTTACCTATTATAAGACTACACTTCGTCATTGTTATAGAAAGTATGTTCTAAATGTTCAACATCAGCACAAATTACTTAAAATGTCTTTTAGTTATGAATAAATCAATGCTGAATGTAGATTAGCATTAGGTAAAAGACATTTTAAGCTCAGCATAAAATTATGTGAGTTATGAAGGATTTGTATTTGATTTTAAGCTATAAGCTAATATTTGATTTCATTCGTCGTCGTTTCACTAACAATTAATTTTATTGCTTTCCGTTCATACAAGAAAAATAATTTGCATCCTTTCCCTTATTGCTTCGTTATAGTTGGCATGGTAATGTTCATGAAACTGCTTTCAATTATTTTTGAATGGAAATATAATTTGTTGTGATTTGCTGTCATTTTTTAAAAATTCCAATTAATGATAAATATTTTCTCGAATACTTCTTTATAATTTTTGTATAAAAATGAAGCCATCTAATTAAAGTTGAGAAACTAAAAATTAAGCTCTCCAAAGTTTAAGATGTTCACTGATCACAGTTAAAGTCGAGTAGGTCGCAGATATCATTCTTTTGTTGATCTTATTTTCTTCTTTCAATAACTTAATATAATATTACAGCTTGAATTAGTCATTCAAATCTCAGGATTTTTATCACACAATTTTGATTGAAGTCTGTTCAGTTTTACAGTTGAATTCGGTTTCTAATTTCGTGTCAAGGAGCGCATCTATTCGTTTTTGGCTCGAACTTCAATGCTTAAATGTCATTGGATTTTGCTGTCAAATTCTCATGAATACTTTTTTCATTCTCTTGGAGCTTGTATTCATTTAACAAAGTATGTTTGCTCACTATTTTTTTGTCATTAAGTTATTTCGTCAGTGTTTATTATGTTCTCACTTTTTCACTCTGAAATTCGCTGTAACTGTATATGCAGAAATTGTAAATTTTGAAGCAATTGCATCGCTTATTCGATTTTTAGCTTCACATTGGTCTGTCATTAGTTGGTGTATTTGTTATTTATTGAGGTGAAAAGCGTCCTTATTTGAATCACATACTCAACGTTCTCACCTTCTTTTCTAAAATTGGGAAATTATAGAAAATGGATTTTTGTTTAGTTGTATTTTACATCAAAAGTAAGCATGCCTATTTTTTTTAATATAGGGACGGTTATAAATACTTTTGTTGCATAATCTATTTTTATATGTCGGAGATAAGGTCTGCAACATTTATTAAAACTGGGGTTTTACTTTCGCGCCAAAAAATAGATGACGTTTAGGTCAGAATTGATCCTTAGTTACTAACAGTAAAAAATATTGATACTTCAATAGTGCTTGATTCAGTAA